TACATGTATATCTTTAGAACTATATATATGATATTTATCAATATTAATCAATAGAGAAGAAGAAAGTCAACATTGATTGATTTTACTAATCATAAATGCTTTGAATATAAGTAAAGTATTTTTGTTATTTGAATTTTGATATATATCAATATGATGATATTAATAGATATTGAAATGTTGTCTTTGTTAATGTATTTGTACTATGTTCTAAAGTAATGATATGTTGAAAAATTTCTTATTAACCAAATAATACATTATGACAATGTTGTTTCATCTTTCTTCATTGATTATATCTGTATATATTGTTTTCTATCATTGAGAAAGATCTTACTTTTGATACCGAATAATTGTTTTTTTTTTTTTTTTTTTTTTTCTTTCTTTTTGTTAAGGATATATGCTCATCATCATTAAATTAGATAGGAGGAGAGACATAATTGATTCAATGTGTCTTTGAAGTTCATTGAATCAAATAGATACTCATCGATTTGACAATAAAATAACAAGCAATGTGAATGTGCATGTGAATGTACATTTCTAATAGACATAGATCTCACTTGATATGTTGACCTTTTGGCCTAAATGATTATTCGATTGAAACTCGATCTATTGATGGTGATTAGAGAAAATATATACTATTGAATATAAACACAAATGAGACGTGTCTGTTGTTATAGTTAGATTTTTCGATAGGGTGTGGTTGCTGTCGTCAGTAAAAGGTTGTTCAGATCATTTACATTTCACACAATACGATCGACAGCATAAATTACGTACATATTTAACTCAATCAAGGATCATTAAATGATACATAAAAAAAAAAAAAACACCAATGACAAGATAAGTTTCTCTTCTTATTTTTATTATTATGGAAAACAAAACGCAAAAAAAAAAAAAAACAACAAACCAAACTGTAAACATATGTAAATATGAACAGATTGAGAAATAAAAATCTGCATAAGACTATGATGATTTTTCTCTCACTGTGAATGTCATATTAATAATTGTCTTTCTTCTATCATTTGTAAATTTTATCTTGACTAGATATATTTCATTTTATGATGAACATGTTGTAGTTATAGGTGAAATAAAATTGTACAATGAATGATGATGATGATGATGATGTTGAAGAACATTAGCAGCAGCAACAGCTAATGGATGTTTCATTTGTAGAAAACGATATTTTTCTGCATCAGCTTCAGCAATACGTTTTTCTTTAGCTCGACGATTTTGAAACCAAATCTAAAATAATGAAAATTCTTTATTGAATTATTCTTTTGTTTTTTTATTTTAAAAATTAATATGAAAAAAAAAAGAAGCATACTTTAACTTGTGTTTCAGTAAGATTTAATGATGCTGAAAATTCAGCTCGTTCAGCAATTGTTAAATATTGTTTATCACGAAATTTTTTTTCTAATGCTAATAATTGAGATGTTGTAAATGGTGTACGTGGTTTTCGATTTTGTTTATGTTTACGTAATGAACAGATTTTTGCATTGATTTTCGGTAATTCATTATTACCTAAATGATAATAAAGAAGAAAATACATCATCATCATCATAGAACTAAACAAATAATATTAGAAAGTAAATGTTAGTAATAGTCGCTAATTCCTTCTGATAATTATCTCATCATTAAAGACAAAAACAATATAATAGACAAGTTAATACTGTTATAAATGGATTTTTGAAGAAAAAAAACACATCTTTTTTGTTTAAATTAACTTCCTATTGAAACTACTATAAAGAACCTTATTGGACGCTTGCGTAAAATCGATATAATATATTAAAAACAACGACGTGCCCACTCCTTTCGCTTCTGACAAAAAAAAAACAAACATTTCGTACTATTTCATTTTGTGAAGAATCATTGTTTCGTTGTAATCGCGTACATTACTCTAGAATAGTTTGTATGTATATAAATGATTTACTTACGTGCTTTATCAATAATTTCAGCATCGGGTAACCAATGTAATTGTGTATTATTATTATTTTGTGACCAAGATGATTGAGTCATAATGCTACTACCACCAGTACATGTTGATGAAGATGATGGTGAATATTGAAGACTTTCATTACTTGTTGATTTTGATGGACTTGTTGTATGAGATGAGGAACGATGAATATCATTTTCTGAACAATCAATTAATGAACGTATACTAAAATCAGTATTACGTTTAGAGATTTTTAATGGTAATTCCATATTTAACGATTGATCGTTTGATTTAATTCTAATTTGTGAAATCAAATTTTGCCTTCTTTTTTTCTAGAAAAGGGGAGAATCGAAAAAAAAATCTTTTGATTGGTTTAAGCGTTGAGCTAAGTGGAAGAAAATCGTTTATTGGACAAAAAAATATGAATTCTTATTTCTTTCTTGTTCTCTCTCGTTCTCTCTCTCTCTTTCTTCGATCGATGAGAGAAAGGAAATAAAAGCTTATCCCTGAAACGGAAATTACTTTTTTTCCTAAAAAAAAAAAGTATCATTGTGTGCATCTTTATTCAATGATAATAAGTATGAAGAAAGTAGAAAAACAAAAATCGAAAGGATCAATCAAAATAAAACTATCATTAATCGTATATACAACAAATCCCAATAATTTAATCTCGACAGGTATCCGCCTCTTACGTTCGTTCAGTTCGAGACATTCAACGTGAGGAAAATGACAAATTCACGTTTGATTTGATGTTGTTTTTTCTTCGTTTTCTTGACGAGGTTAACTCTAATAGCAAGACTCTAGGGGGCAATTAGATGATAGGTGAAGAAAGCATCTATCACTGTATATACGATTGACAAGCGCAACGAGTATGATAATATGCATCTGACATACGGATTTTTTTTTTTTTCATGATTGGATTTCTTCATGATGTAATATAGACTGATCTTCGAAACAAAAAGAAAAAGAAAACGAAGAAGAATCATTGATTTAATGATCTTTATTGTAACGGAAGTGAATCGTTTGATGAAAACGGTTTAGATCACTATCCAGATGCCCTTTTTAATAGAAATACGGATAATCGGTCTCTTTTAACAAATACAGATATATATATATACAATTGAATGTAATAATCAAGAAGCCAGATGAAATATTCTTTTCTTTCTCATGAAAATCTTTTCATATTTTTATTTTTTCGACATCATTCACATATCATTAAACTAAATGACTATTATGATGTGCATTGAGGCTCGTCGCCAGTCAAGTGTCGAACGGTTGTTGTGTGTTCACTGATCAAAATTTGATTTTGTATATATATATATTTCGTTTTCTATCACCATGTGATTCAATGAATTGGAACAGATTTAATATTCGATTGTCAAAAAACAAAATGGAATGGTTCACCTGCTTTCTTCTCTCATACATATCACATTCTTGCAATTAAATAATCATTGTTTTGTCACATCGTTTTTAATAATCGATTGTAGACATTTTATGGACAGAAACAAGCGTGGTTCATTAATATAAAAAAAGAAAAAAAAAATCAGAGAATTTCATATGCAAATTTTGTCGTTTTCTTTTCTTTTTTTTTTTACAAAGTCAATGACAGACAATTGAAAATTTATTCAATCAAATCGATGAATTTTTTTTGACATTTTGAACATGCAAACAAACTTTCAATTGACTTCATTTTTCTTCATGTGTGTGTGTGTCCTTCAACGACTATTCAGTATATGCGTGACATCAATATACATGATATTGATAATTGAGAAAAATTAATGGGGTTATCTTCATCGTTTGTTTTTCGAAGGAGATATGTGATAAATGAGAGGAAGATAGAGATAATTAACGAAATATATCAAATTGTATACTTTGAGTAGTATATAACATGAACATTGAGAAAATGAGAGATCGACAGATATATTAAGAGTAGCTTTTTGTATCTTATGTATTAAAGGGTTGTCCTTAATTCAACAAATAGACAATTGTAAGTTCATATTTTTATGAGTTTGAAATCTAAAATTATATGTTTATAAGAGTTTATTTTATAGTAGGAGTGTCCCGAAGTTGTCAGAATTAGTGAGGACCCTTCGATAGCTCAAGAAACCAATAGAAAGATTCAATAGGGATAACTCTAGAATTTTGGGCAAACATACGACGATCATGAAGCATGTTCTGAAGTTGATTAGAAATCATATCGGCTCATTATCTGCTGACAAAAAGAAATCGAAAAAAGTATTTCAGAGAAGAAGCAACGATCATTGCAAGTATTCACACTAAATCCGCAACGAGAAAAATGTTTGCTAAAATTCACCGAATTTCACAAGAAGGATTGAGTATTTTTGCAAGATTATGAAGGAAATCATTTCTAGAACTCGTCAAGTTGGTCCTGGATCCGAAAATTTTAGATCTAATGGACTCTAATACTCTGAAAGATGTGTAGAATGCACTAGTTATCGGAAAAAAGTATCTTATATCTTCGCATCGACTATCGAATTCTAAATAGAAAATTTCATTGAGAGTATCAAAATACAATTCGATCATATCCTAAAACTTTGAATCCGATTTACATATCTTTATATTTTATAAAACTGAATCTTGTTTGAAATCTTGTGATATACATTCTGATTAATATAAAGTTCTATATTCGTTTCATTTTTGTAAATAAAAACTAATACCGATTATTATTTGTTTTTTAATTCTTGAAAAAAAAACTATAATTTACAAATGAGTAAGAGAAACTTATTTTTCAGATAATTATATATGTATAAATCTAGTATTCTCTTGTGATACAAAACGATAGTAACTATCTCATTAGTCTAATACAATAACCATTCTTCTTTATGCATATTGTATACAAATACCGAATGGTTGAGACGTGACACAACCAGTCAATTGCTATTCGGTCGATGAAGCTAATCGACTATTAACGAATGCATTTAATAGAGAATAAGAACATTTAATCGTCAATAAATAGACGCATATATGTATATAAAAACGAAGACTAGTTTTTACAAAAAGGAAATAATAATAATAATAATAAAAGAAGAAAAAAACAAAATTTTCTTTTGATTTATGCAAAAGGAAAATATGACGATGTCATTTCCAATTGTCGTGTTAATTGATCTTTTAATTGTATAAAACGATATTTGTCTAATTCAGCTTCTGATAAACGTTTTTCTTTTGCTCGACGATTTTGAAACCAAATCTAAAATTAAAATAAATTTTGTTTTTTGTTTTTTTATATTAAAAATTTCTTTTTGTATTTATTTTAATACATACTTTTACTTGAGTTTCTGTTAGATTAAGTGATAAAGAAAATTCAGCTCGTTCTGTTATGGATAAATAATGTCGTTCATGAAATTTTTTTTCTAATGCAAGTAATTGTGTTGTTGTAAATGGTGTACGTGGTTTTCGATCATTTTTATGTTTACGTAATGAACAAAATTTTGGTTCATCTAATTTTTTTTTTTGTTATTGCATTTCAATTGGTTTTTTTTTTTTAAGAAAATAAAAACTTACCAGATATATCATATTGTTTAGAAGTTATTGTTCGAGGATTTATCATTGACAGTGGATTGGAATTTGATGATGAAGATTCCGATAAATAATTTAAATCATAATCATGATTATTATCTCGTAAAAGAAATGCTACACTAAAATCTTTTGTAGTTTTTGTAACCATTTTAAATAATCGTTACTTTCTTTTTTGTAATGGATAATTGACGTATTATAATTATGATATTTATGATTTGTTTTTTTCTCTCTCTCTCTCTCTCTCTTTGGCTTACTGAATATGTATCAAAATAAAAATATGCTGAATCTATGACACCAATGAAAATCATGATAACGATAGTAGAGAATAAAACAAGTTCGCTTTTTTACACATGATTGGTTGTAAGAGAAAGAAAGAAAAAAAGTAATACCTTTCTTTTCATCGTTCTAATGCGATCGTACGTAATGCTAAATCAACTAGCAACCAGCACATTATGTGATAGAGTCATTTAATATATAATACATCATAGCAGATTGATTCTCACTAAGATGAATTTAAATGATTTAAAAATTTTTATATTTTTCATTAAGAAAAAAAGAAAAATTTTCTAAAAATAGGAAAATATTATAATTAGTAATTAAATCTGTCATTTAATATGTAATAATATAATTTTATCATTAAGTAGTAATAAGAAAATATGAAAAATAAACGATATATCAAATAAGTTTTTTTTTCTCTCCTTTTTTTGACATGCATCATGTAATGATATAATGAGTTACTTTTTAAATAAAACACATTTACATTATTCCATTCGATTTATTTCAGTTTTGGTTTTCTTTTTTTTTTTTTTTTTATGATAAACTTAGTTGTAAACTTCGTTCTATATCTTGATAAACGAGGAGACCCATTACAACTGTCACTTTATTTCATTTCAAACATGCATGCGCATAAGGATATGTATAACCGACTCACCTATTTATTGCGTGTACAACACATACATATGTATATCGATTAACTGATGATAATGCTGGGGCTCACTACTCACTTTTCATGGGCGAAACTTATTAAATAAATGATGATACGTTCTTTTTTTTTCTTCTGCTCATATGTAATTAATGTATGAAAGTAAATGATCAAGTTATACAACGTCTTAGACTCATCATCGTATGCTTGTCAATAATGAAAAATGATTGATTAATACCAATTATATATAACTTAATAGTTTCTTTTTTAGATTTAAAATGAGACGTAAATTTATTTGTCTATCAGGAATACTAATCTCGATTTTTTTTTAATATTATAGGTGATGACTATTAATGAGAAAATCTTTTATATAATTAATCAAATGAGCAGAAGAAAAAAAAAGAACGTATCATCATTTATTTAATAAGTTTTGCCCATGAAAAGTGAGTAGTGAGCACCAGCATTATCATCAGTTAATCGATATACATATGTATGTGTTGTACACGCAATAAATAGGTGAGTCGGTTATACATATCCTTATGCGCATGCATGTTTGANTTTTTCTTTTTCGTGTTGTGTTATTAATATTCAATGTCTTATGGTTTATAGAGAACAGAATTATGATTAAAAGAAAAAAAAGAAAAGAAAATAAACACATTTAAATATGACCTTCATTTTAGCTAATAAATATGCACGAAAAAAAAAAAAATTTTTCTTTTTTTTGTATTCAATATTTTTTGCAATTTAACAAAAAGAATTTTTATTTAATTTACATGTTGAAGTATAATTGAAATGTGATTATAAATCAACTCGTATTAATACAAAAAAAGAAATAAATTTATCAAGATTTTTTTTTTTTTGTTTATTGAAAATTTATACAAAATACAATTTATGTAGAAAAATGATTTATTTTCGAAGAATTTAGTTTTTGACAAAAGGAAATTATTGTGTGTAGCACTTTAATTTAGTTTATCTGTAGTAAAATTATTAGAAGAATCAGTATATTAAAAAGTATAAAAATTCAATAGTTCTATTATTATTAGCTGAGAAGCGAAAATATCACAAGAATTTTGCACAATTTCGTATTGATTAGAGGGGAAACAAGCATCATCAATGAGAATAGTCGGAATATTTTTCTTGTAGATAGTCGGTGAAAGGTATACATTATTTCGACTCAGATAGATCTTCTGAAAATAATATTTTTCTCAATTCAATAATTACATAAAATATATAATTAAGATATGCAATATCTCGAGAATCTTCTGTGTATATTTTTGATACATTTATTTGACAAAAAATAATAATAACATAAATAGTTTGTTTTTTTCACACTAGAAAAAATTAATATAAATGTTTCATATGGATTTTATACAAAGTTAGGCTTCTTCAGAATGTGTAAATAAATGTGGAACACTTCCATTTGTCGAATGTAGACGAGAAAATCGACGTGTTACATTAAATACTTGTCGAAATTTTTGCATTCTCAAAAAATTTTCATTTTTATTATGTGATGTTGTATCATCACTTTCCGTTTCAGTATGAATTTCCATTTTTTGAAGAACTAATCGAACAAGATCAGTAATCTTTTCTAATTGACGTTGCGTATCTTTTTGTCTACAAAAAAAAAAAAAGAAAATAATCATCTTTAAAAATATTTCTCATCAATTTGAAATATTACCTTCGTTTTTGTTTATATAATTCTAGAAATAAAACTCTTTCAGTACCATTTTCTTCATATGTATCTAACACATTATTTACATCGAGAGGTTTAGCAATCCACTAAAAAAACACAAATACAATTTTATAATTTTCTATAAAAAATTTTTTTTTTTTTTATTTTAATTCTTAACTTACTTCTTTAAATGATGTTGAAAAACGATTACAAATACCTTTATTAATATAAATAATATATTCATTTTTTGTCCAACGTTGAAGTAATTTATTTGGTAATTTCTTTTCAAGATTTGTATGAAGTTGAACCTAAATATACAAAATAAAAAAGTAAAAAGAAAAAAAAACTCTAATTTTATTCCAAAAACAAACTTGTGTAGCAAGACGTTTTAAACGAGCATTTTGTTGAATTTGCATTAAATCACCAATAGCTAAACCAACAAGTAAATTCATTAGGAGAATTGGCATTATAATTGCAAATACAAGTAATATTATTAAATTAGTTATATTAAAATGTCGCTCATCTATATTTTCTAAATATGAACGTTCATAATCAAGTTCACCTAACATCATTGTTATTGTTTTAAGTACAATCATAAATAAATGATGTGGATTTGATACATTAAGATCCTAAAATTTCATAGATAAGAAAAATAAATTTCATTTATTTTCTATTTTTTTTTTCGAAAACAATCTTTGTTATTATTACTCATGAGTAGTGATGAGCGGAACCTATTGTTTTTTGGTTCTAGTTTCGCGCTTACGATAGAATTATCCGAATTGATACCCGTCGTTTGAGTTCATATTGGGTTGATAAGAAGGTCTTAGTAAGATTAGAAAAATCCTACAAAGGTTCATATTCTTGAGCCTTTGAAACCGAGTTATGACCGTTTTGCTGAACTTACAATTCAATTTTAGGCATTTACTGAAAAATCAAATAACGAAATTTCTATATGAAATTTTGCTCATAGATAGGTCTGATGATTCTGAGAATATTCCCTTATCGAGGTATTGAAATTTTAGTATACTCGATTTTTGTGACAAACGATCATTTCTCGAAAATTGAATATCTTGACAAAAGAACATTCTTTTCGTTCTCAGGATCATTGGAACACTTCAAAAGTTTTAGTGAAAAAAACAAGATTTCTTGTTGTGATGTTGAATTATTATAAAACATAAATACTTCTAGACATTTTTCCACTGAAACATTTAGAATGTTCCAATGATCACGAGAATTACATACGAGCAATATATTAGATTAATATTCTGTTGTTCGATTTTTCTGTATATATGTACTTTGTGTTAGAAATGGTCATAATCTTCGAAAGAAGTCTTAACCCTATTCGAATTATTCTTAGAATAATACCTTCAATATATGAACAAAGTGTCATTGAAAACGATGTAAATCAGTTAGGAATCTTCTTTCATAAGAGGCCTGTGGAAGTGAACCTAAACTTCTACTTCTATACTTCAACACTTCTTCTAGATCATATTTCACAAAAATTTGGTATTGTAATGACAGTAATCAATGAATATAAAATTGTCTATTTGTATACAGTGAATATCTTATTTCATTCTTTTTTGTTTCTTAATCTATTGATCGTTACCTGAGAAAATGGTTTTGTTACACAAAATGTTAAAGCAAAACCAAATATTAATATTGAAAATAAAGATAAAACATGTAATAATGTTTTCATTATTTCTAAAAACATGATAACATATATACCATAGATAAAAAATCGACCAAGAAGAAATAAAAGTGCTAAATAAGCAGTAAATATACTAATCGAACCAGCTACCCATTGATAATGCCATGATTGATCAAATAAAAATGGTAAAGTAAATATACTTGTTGTAACATATAATATCCATTGTATATAATTTTCAATATCATTAAAATATTCAAAACCATCATGTACTAATTGAATAATTTCCATAATAAAATTTGAAAAACAATAAAAAACAATAAACCATATACTAATTATTTGAAATGTTGTTGCACTATTTTGAAATATAAAATTATTTTTTGAACATAAATGTGTCGAACTATTCCAATTTATTGGATCATGATGATTACATGATGGAAATGTTAGGACAAAATACGAAAGAAGAAAAAGAAAAAGAAGATAAAAACTTAAATCAAGAATATAAATTGGAAAACCATATGAAATCCATTTTTGACGAAGTAATGTTTCACATAATGGATGACTTAAATGATTTGTACGACCAAATTTAACCATCATCTATATTGATAAAAGATATGAATAGTATCTTTAACGAAATCAGATTTCAACGCAATATCAGTTTTACTCGATACAGAAGTTTAAAATAATTTTTCAGAACGGCATGATAGCACAGATTATCGATCAGACTGAATTGTAAAACCATGTAAGTTTACAAAAAAGATATAAGAGCCAGACGAAGTCCTATAGCAACCTACTAGAACGGTTTTCAGTTATTTCCATAAAAATGCGGAAACAGTATAATTCAATCAGAATATATTCAAATTGCTTCAAGAAATCAAAAGCTGTTAGCGCAATCCCTTGCGGGATTAAAAATGTGAAACACGATGAACCTATTGTTACTAATTAAATGGAAATCCTTTTGTTCCATTTCCTTACGACACATTTGTAGCTACCCGTATATCTGATGCTTTACAACTACAGTTTCTCTGTCACGGTCTGTGATGGGTACCCGGGTTCTCTGTCGCGGTCTGTGATGGGTACCCCGATTCTCTGTCACGGTCTGTGATGGGTACCCGGGTTCTCTGTCGCGGTCTGTGATGGGTACCCCGATTCTCTGTCACGGTCTGTGATGGGTACCCGGATTCTCTGTCACGGTCTGTGATGGGTACCCGGGTTCTCTGTCACGGTCTGTGATGGATACCCGAATTCTCTGTGACG